TGAAAGGCACCTTTTTTTAATAAAGAGTTTGAGCTGAGTGTACTGACTTCTTGTTCACCTCCCTTAAGAAAACAAGAAGCATATAAAACCTTCCAGAGAGGAAAACTCTTGTCCTATTAAACATCACGCTCTCTGTGCAATAACGCTCTGCCACGGTACGACTCCGCTCACAGTAAATATGAATGCAGCATGCAGGCAATATAATAAGTAGTTCAAAATAACACAATTAAATTCTGACACTGCTGTGGCCGCCAGCCCACCCACCCGTGGTTGCTCTGGTGGAAAGGACTTGCCTCCCTCTGCTGACCTCGTTACAGAAGAGGTTCCCGGGGCACTCTGCGAGCGCGCTCGCTGCTTCTTTCCTTATTTGCTGCTGCAGAACCAAATCCCCTTCTATCAAGTGAGCCTTGTCAGTTGAAGCTCAAATATTACCTTTGGTTTCTGAAGTCATTAGCATCCTAATGGAAATTCACATTTATGGACTTATCCCAATTCTGTTGATACAGCACACTTACAATAACGCCTTCCATACCATCGTTGCGCTCCTCTCTGAATATAAATTCAGACTTCCAGCACACAACACGTTGGTTTTGCCGGAGCTGTCCCAATAGGACATGACCATAAACTGTAAAATTAAGGCATTTCTGGCCTTGTGCAAAATCGCTCTTGCATTCTGTTCTTTTTTTGGTGTCTTTCCATGTAAAAAATGGGAAAATGACCTGATAGCTGCTTTTGAGCACTCGCAATGTGGAGAAATGGGTGGTAAGCCTGGCTTCCTCATATACTATGAGAAGCACGTGTGGGATTGACTTTATGGCCCTACTGCAAAAACATGGAAAGTTTTAAAACTTTGAATCGCTTTGTAAATTCAAAGTAGAAGATGGCTTGATGACGCATAAGGGGTCTAACTTATTTATTGTGTAATAACCTAATAATTTTAATTGGAAACGTAGAGAATTCTTGTTCTCCTTGTTCCCCTGTGTATGTCAGCATGTGGGCCTTACTTTTTCTTGTAAAATAGTATCTACCCACATACTGCCTCCACAGTACAGCTGATGAGATAAAACTGTACTGAATTTCCTTGAAGTGAGATAGCTTAAACCGTTTCTGCTAAATGGAAAATACTTGTGGTATTTAATCTTAGTTGTATTGAGTCTTCTCCTGGTGCCAAGGAATACTCCTCAACCAAAGGAGACTGTCGTTTCACTGCATCCATTTGCCTTGGGGTAAATGTTTTACAGAACTTTGGCCCATACTCACACATGAATATTTTATAACAGGTAGAGTTTTTTTAAATGTAAACATAGTTAAGATTTTGTAAACCCATGTTAACCTAATGCATTAATTTCCCATGGGCTTCTTGCTCCTTTATGTTCTTCATTAATAGTCCCAGTATTCCTCCTCACATTAATTCTATTTTTAGTATACACGTGTCTATTCCAGTAGCTGTAGCTAAGAGTCTTTCACTCCATGTTAAGTGTATTATCTGCTAAAATTAGAGGATTTTGGCTACTTTCTTGCCTGAAATACATCTGTGAATGCAGTATTTTTTCCCCTCCCTTCAGACAAATTTCAGATGTTTTCCATCTTTCTTGAGTTTTCCTATCTGTTCTGCCTTCAAGATTCCAGGTAAACTTGTCTGTTAAACCTTAGTTCTGCTCTATGAAAAGTCATCTAATTGCTCTTTAACTGCATTTGTGGTGCTTTGGTCAAACGCTTCTTCAACTGGAGATCTTCCGTGTAGCTGTTCCGCTCTGTAAAGCGGCATATTTAACGTCCAGGAATGAACCACTTACTGACTTCAGGCTCAAGAATTCTGATCTGTCCTTCAGTCAAATCATGTTGTCTAGTTTAGCAGTCTGTAGCTGCTTATGTGTATTTTATAGAATCACAGAATGGTTTGGATTGGAAAGGACCTCAAACACCATCCAGTTCCAACCCCCCTGCCATGGGCAGGGACACCCTCCACTACACCAGGTTGCTCAAAGCCCCATCCAACCTGGCCTTGAACACTTCCAGGGATGGGGCAGCCACAGCTTCTCTGGGCAACCTGTTCCAGTGCCTCAGCACCCTCAGAGTGAAAAATTTCTTCCTTAGAAATCTCCCCTCTTTCAGTTTGAAGTCATTTCCCCTTGTCCTATCACTACATGCCCTTGTGAAAAGTCCCTCTCCAGCTTTCCTGTAGGCCCCCTTTAGGTACTGGAAGGCTGCTATAAGATCACCCTGGAGCCTTCTCTTCTCCAGGCTGAACAGCCCCAACTCTCTCAGCCTGTCTCCAGAGCAGAGGTGCTCCAGCCCTCGGATCATCTTTGTGGCCTCCTCTGGACCCACTCCAGCAGCTCCATGTCCTTCTGCTGTTGGGGACTCCAGAGCTGAACACAGTATTCCAGGTGGGGTCTCAGCAGAGCAGAGGGGCAGAATCCCCTCCCTCAAAATGCTGGCCACGCTGCTTCTGTTTTCAAGATTCTTTCCTCCGTTGTCATACGTTTGATGTATATTGTCCAATTTAACTGTGCTGCTTTTTGGAAAAGGAAGCTTTTTAAAAAGTAGACATGCTCCAAATGCGTTCAGTTGTTTTAAGTCAACTCTTAAACATCGAACTGCTGCTTCACCATTAGGCTGGGTATCTTGATGTTTGTTCTGCTGACGAAGAGTCACTCCGGATCCATCTGTGTTACACTGCAAGAGCACTCGCCGCTGTATTTCCGTGTAAAGGCGTTGCTTTATGCTTCATATGAGAGTTTACAATCCTGAACTTGCCTGGTTTAGTAGTCTTTAAAGATTACTGGAGAAATCTTACAATGGCTGATATTGCTGTAGCTTATACCCCATTCTCACATCCATTCTGTAATCGTAAAAATTCATGTCTTGTAAAAACACGTAGTTTTGGAAGTACTCCTGGCGTACAGCAGCACGACGCCTGAGATGTTCCAGAACAGCCAATATCTGGGTGTTAGGATGCTTCTTTTTGATGGGTAACACCTTATTTTAAATTTGTTTTGGTGACTCCTCAGTTATTTGGGTAAGATGGAACTGACATAGCAATAGGAGATTGAGAGCTCCCCAGGATAGCTGGCAGTCACTAATTCAGTAAATTAATTGGCATATGGAAAACTCTTTCATCCTTTCTCATTGTTTACTGTGTAATCTAATTGAAAACACTTCAGTCCATAGGTGTTGTGGTGAAACTTAGTTTTAAGTCTTTACTTGTTTTTCTTTGTTTATTTTTAACAGTTTTTATGAAATCACATTAAAAAAAATCGTACTTTTGAGAAAATGTCTAAAGTTTTCTGAATATTCTGATACCGTATATTAAATCTCTAGTTTCCTCTGTCTCTAAATCAATAGCTTTTTCATTTTAAAAGTAATCATTTGTCTGACGTGATTTACCTTTCACAAATCTGTGTTGACTTCCCCTATTAAATTGTACTTCTCCAGCTGTATGCTTAAGCTGTCTATAAATATCATCTAAAAAATGTTCTAATATACATGCTATATATGAAATTTTCAGCTTCTCTTCTAGCCTTTCCAGATATTGAAAACTTACCTTCCATAATCAGTTTAGACTTCCTAAAAATGAAATATTCAGCAATTCAGCTTGCAGCTCTCTTAAATAGATAATTCACATCCAAGCAGGTCTTTGTCTGCCTTCAGCTTATTGTGTTAGTAGTTATTTGAGTCCGTTGAATTACTCCCCTCTGATGGTCCTTATTAGCACCTAAATACATCACTCCTGTCCTCCTTCCATGGGCTTCCCATATCCTCCTTCTGGTGTCCGGAATAGGTGCAGAGCCTGAAGACTGCTAAACTGCCTGCAGATGTTTGCCACAAGGACTTCCAGCACCTGATAGGAAAGTCAGCATCTTTCCTTTAAATGAAAATGAACAAAAAAAGGGGCAGCTTAGCTGTTTTCCTGTGTAAAGGCTGTTTACTTTGAAGTGTTTATAGAAGCTTTTTGTTTTCTGAAATATAAGCAGAGCTGTTTAAGTGATGAGGATAACTAGTTTTGTACCAGTTTTGTTGGAGTTTTTTCAGGGATTTTTGTTTGTTTTTTCCATTATACAAGGAAACATGGGTACATAAATATTTTGGGGTTTTTTGACCTGTCCAAAGAACTACTGTCTGTCTTCATTTTACTCAGTCATTCTGTTTGTAGCACTGGCATAAATAAATGGAAAATCTCTGCATGCTAGCATCCAGTTAGTGTCTGTTTGCCATTTTGGAGGTGTTATCTTTACCTTTTTTGCCCTCAAAACATGGTTCCCTGTTCAGGAACGCTGTAATGAGGGCTGGGAGCACTGGGAATATACCTCTTGGTCCAAATCCTTTGGGAGCCTGTGGGTGTTTGTTCCCATTCCAGTGGCAGGTGGTCAGCAAACTCAGGCTGCAGTGTCAGCTTTCTGTCAAATGTGCTCGTGACGCTCGTGACTCCAGTGCTGCTGTTCTCTTGTTTCTCTACTTTCTGTTTCATTTACTACCCCTTGCCCCCACTCCCCTGCCCCCCCTGTTCTCCGAGTGCAGGGTGTAGAAGGCATTGGGATTTTGTTTGTCTCTGCGTTTTTCCTCTTCAGGGAGCAGATAATTGGTAACTTGGGTTAATAATGTTTCATCTTAAATGTTTCTTGTTATAACTTGGACGCATCAAAACAGAACTAGGGTTCTGTTCTTAGTCCTTCCACATTAATGTGCATTCTGTTTCAGCCTTCCCTTTGTGGCATAATGTAAATTATGGTCCATTTTTTGATTAAAAGCGGTTGCTCATTCCATAATGAGTTTCAAGTAATTGCTGGTTTAAAACTTTCAAATGTTTGTATTTGAAATTCCCATGAGCAAGATTTTCAGGAGTGAATGGAGATGTGAGATGCCAAAGGCCCGATTGCTCAATTTAGGGTTGTGGTCTGCCACCTCACTTAGCAAATCCAATTCTAGTAATATCTGAGCATCACATTCAAGGGCTTCGTTTCTCAGAACTTCCGAGACTACGTTTTAAAGTCAGGTCATGGCCACATGTGAAATCTCTGATCATTTTTCCAATCGTTTGACCCAAGAACAAAAGTAATGTTCTAATAACTTATCTGGGGTACAAGGTGTGCAAGAGCAGAATCCCTGGTGATGCCTGACCTGTTTTGAACCATGTCCCATCTTATTTCAGCCCTGATAACATGGGTCTGCTTGACCCAGCCACCAGTGACGGCAGAGTGATCTTCTTTCTGCCATGGGAGAAGATGACTATCGCGGGGACCACGGACAGCCCGACGGATGTTACTTCCCATCCGATACCAACGGAAGAGGATATAAACTTCATTTTGAATGAAGTGCGCAACTACCTTAGCGTTGATGTTGAAGGTAAACCTTTGTCAGCTCTGTTTCTCCCTGGGCAGGGACTGCTGAGTCTGGCATTTCGGTTTGAGTGAGCACTGTCTGAAGTTTTTCTGCAACTGGGATAACTATGGTTCTCATGCATCTGTGTCGTGGGACGTACATTGTCATCTTGATGTATGTTTCAGAGCTACAAAATGATGCTTTTCCAGATATACCTGCACTGCTTGGGTTACTTAAATGGAAATTGGTTGATATCTGCATATTCAGATTTCACCTACCTTTCATCAAACTGGCACTAGCCATCCAGCTCCACCGCCAAGCCAGACGCAAGGTTTTGTGGAACTGGGACAGTGTCTTACGTCAACACAAGTACATCAAATAACGCACTCGTCTTTCTTGAAGGAAGAGTTGTTCTGACTTTTCCCATGTCTTTGTTTTTATTCCCATTTTTCTAGGCACTTTATTCTTAGAATTTACTTTTCTTGGTATGGTAAATGTCTAATAGTGTCAGCTTTCAGTGGGAGAGGAAAATGTAATGGGCAAAAAAAGGAATTTATAAAAATTACTTAGTGACAGTTGTTCCTTTCAGTAGCTGACAACACATTTGTTGTAAGATGCTGGCCTGCCTTGACTCGGTGCTGGTTTAAAGGAGAGAGGCTTCATTCCTTCATAGTGAGGTTTTTTTAAAAATGATTCTTTGAAAGCACTTGTATTTCTGTTGTAGTAGCAGCATTAAAATAAATCTGAAAAGCACTCGGTCAGGAACATTGCAACATCCTTAGATTTAGGAAAACTTGCTGTCTGGAGATGGGAAATGATGGATTACTTGCTTCCTGAGGTGGATAACTGATGGCTCTGTGTTGTACAAAGTTCAGAAAAAGTCCTCAGGAAACGTAGGTTAAGTTTCTTGAGCAGAAATTGATAGAAGTGTGGTAGGCCAGACAGGTAGCTGGTGGAGTTAAGACTGTAAGATTTTTCAGGGTATTTTACAGAAGTGCATTATGAAGTGTTTAATTCTTTTGAATGAAACCTACCTAGGTGCACGCTGTTTTTCACACATGCAATTAGCAGTGTTTATAGATTGCCTGTTATTGAATTAACAACTGTGCTGGCCGTATCAACTCACTGCAGACCTGCCTTTTTGCTGCCAGAGACAGTGCCAGGGTTATCAACTTACACAGGCTTGGATGTGTTCCAACTGTTTAATTATAGTGTCACGCATGCTGCTTTTTCTAGTTTCATTAGTTTATAATGTAATATGGTATCTTATTTCTGTGATTAACACTTCATTTTGGCAGGTTAAACATGCTGGCAGAGCACCATTGATTTCTGAAATCTATTTTGTGTTCTTTGGGGATATTTTTACACCCTGTGACCGATTTTTCAATTATCGTTTATTTGAAAGTTGTATTAAAAAAAAAAAAAGTTCCAAAGATTTCAGCATAAAGCAAATCGGTCAGTTTTTCTGTTGCAAATTTAATAAGCAAGAAATTAATTTCATTAAATTCTCTGTTGGTCCCATGTTTGATATATTTTTAAAAAGTGACTTTTGGAGGCTGGGGTGTTTTCCTACAACCGTTAAGGACTACTTGATACCGTCAGGTTTTCTTCCTCCAGGTTTACTGAGAAGTCAGGGCTGGCGTTAGGGGGACGTTCTGGCATGGGATGGAAGATTTGGGGATGTGCTGCAGCCGACCGCAGCCTTGCCAATAAATTTTCTCCGTTTGCATTTGTGTAACTGCACTTCCAATAAAGGCTGTGGATAAAGATCCACTTGTCAAGGCGAGAACTTGGAAAAATAACTTACAAGCTAGAGAAGAAGCTTTGAAGTCCTAAAAGCAAACGTTACGCTTATGCGGAACAAACTTTGTTTTGGTTTCCAAGTTGTAATGCAAGGACTGTCCTGTCAGCATGAGCAGACAGGAGAAGGCTTGGTGCTGGGGGTGTGTTTCATTTTGGTAGGGTTTGGGGTTCGGGTTTGGGTTTTTTTCGAGCTCATCAGTGGGTTTGACAATTGAATCTCTCGTGGTTGATCAGTTCCCAGGATATCTCTATTCTGTTGGATTTTTAACCAGCGTGAAAAACGAACCTCTCTGACTTTGTTTTGGGCTAGAGAATATTATTGATATACTGATGAGGGCAGTACTGATTTTAATTCTGTAGTCCAACTTATTCCATTACTTTGGAGAATCTTCTCCAGCTTTCTGAGTTGCTCAACTAACAAGCATGGCGTGGTGCAGTCCTTGTTTCACAGTGAGTATCTACTCGGAGGCCATGCCAAAGACCACGGGAGGGATATAAGTACCCATCAGCTCCTGGCTGACTTTGGCTGGTCTTTGGTTCCGGACAGTGAGAAGAGGAGACGTGTTGGCAGCGTGGAGCGGCATTCGTCCTCTGGTCACAGACCCCAACTCCAAAGACACGCAGTCAATATCCCGGAATCACGTCGTTACCATCAGCGATAGTGGCCTTGTCACCATAGCAGGTACTGGAAGTTCTCTTAAAGTACAGCTGTGTTGGGCTTTGCCAGTGTGTTTTATTCAAAACTTTTCTTGTTACAGGATAATCCTTCGTGTTCCTATAACTAGATAATGATCTGTCAGTAGTAGCATGACAGGCTTGTTGGAGCAAGTCTGGCAATAATGTGATATATAAAATATATATAGCATGTCCCAACTTCGTATTCCACCCGCTTTCCCCAAATAAACAAGTATACGTGTGGTCACAGGTGGGAAGTGGACAACCTACCGTGCCATGGCGCAGGACACCATTGATGCAGCTATTCAGGCGCATGGTCTGAAGGCAGGTTCCAGTAAGACCATTGGACTGCAGCTACAAGGGGCTGAGGACTGGAGTCCCACTCTCTACATTAGGTTGGTCCAAGACTATGGACTTGAAAGTGAGGTGAGTCATGGCTTCTGTTGATGCTCTGATGTTTCTGTGCTGGAGGGTTTTGTTTTCGCACTAAATCTAATGCCAGCGTAACTTGTACAAAGGCCGGGTGAGCCTGATAAGAGCGTATTATCTGGCCAGGATGAAGATAGTTTATCAAAAATAAACGCTAGTAATTGTTCTTTTCTTCCCTTTTCCCTTCCTCCTAATCTTGACCGTTACCTGTTTCAAACTGTTATGACGTGCTAGGGTCTGTCTTCCTTTGAGCCCAACAAAATCTATACGTCAGACGTGGTCACGGTGTAACAGAAGAGTTGGAGCATCGTTTGTCACAGTTACGTTGATGTGTACATAGTGGTGTCAGTGCTGGTCTAATGCATTCACAGCTCAAGTGGTTTCCTCCCACACTATCAAAATCCAATTCCCTTTCCAGCCTATTTGCTATTGGTGATAAGGGAATTGAGGAGAAAAACGTGTGTATGTTTGATGTGCTTTTGAAAGCACATTGAATTTGTTTTCAACTCCATAGGTGGCTCAGCATCTAGCTTCAACATACGGTGACAAGGCTTTTGAGGTGGCCAAAATAGCCCAAGTTACAGGAAAGAGATGGCCTATCGTTGGAAAACGCCTTGTATCTGAATTCCCTTATATTGAAGCTGAGGTATGTGGAAAAACTACATCATGTTCTTTGATCCTTTTCTTGGGATAAACGGGTTCCAGAGCAGGTCTGTCTCGCTCTGTGAAACTTCTCCATAAGCCTTTTCCTTTGGTGAGGTCCAGATATTTTTTTCTATACTTGTTTTTCCCCTTCCCCAGAGCATGCTTTATTTTTATGTTTATATATACACATATTAATATATTTATATATAATTACATACTTAAAATTGTATCATGTCTCTTTTTTTATTTCATATATGCACATTTGATCCCAGATGCGTTCTATAAAACGTTCCAAGGAAAAGGGAGCTTTTCAACCCCTTCTCTTGATCGAGTGGGAACTGGTTACAGAAAGCTGGTTTTTGTATAGCCAGCCTGGCAGTGCAGGTTGTGATGCTAAACATAATTTCCAACAGTGCTTGTCTACTGTCTCACCTGCGTTTTCTCCCCTTGCCTTACTGTTCTAGGTTGTCTACGGTGTTAAAGAGTATGCCCGCACGGCGGTCGATATGATTTCCCGAAGAACTCGCCTGGCCTTTCTGAACGTGCAGGCTGCTGAGGAAGCCCTGCCAAGAATTGTAGATATAATGGGGAAAGAACTTAACTGGAGCGAACAGAAAAAAAAGGTACAAAGGGCCTTTTTTGTCTGAAATGGTGTTTCACCGTGTTTGGTGTACCTGGTGCTGTAGAAGATTCTACAGTCTCTGTTCTGCAGTACTTTATGTACGTCAGGTGTTTACCACTTAATAAAAAAAGGCTATGGAAAACCTTGCACTGAACTTTCAGGTAATAAATTAATTTTACTACCATCAAGAAAACTAGTTGAAAACATAAAGAACCTACCTGGTGTTGAGCCTCCTGATTTTTTTTTTTTTTTTCCTGATTTTAGGCAGTTAGGTGAAACACTGCACTAAGATAGCAGCTGTGAGTTAAATGGCATTTTGTAGGTGTGACCTGCAAGTGCTGTTCTTCATCAGATAGGTCAATATACCATGTGTGACTGAAGGCATGGTATGGTCCTGAAAGCATTTACACAGTGATTGGAAATTTTGACTAGACTTGATCTCTCTTTTCAAGCTAAAAAGTGCCTAAGTTATTTTTAAAATACTTTTCGGCTACCATCTGCTTAATTTTTGGACCTTAGATAAATTCTAGTTAAGTGGAAGAAGCTGATAAATACTACATGAAAAATAATTGTGTAAGAACTTGCTATTCCTCAGATATACAATTTTTCTTTTTTTTCTTGTAGGAAGAACTTGAAGCTGCTAAAAGATTTCTCTATTATGAAATGGGCTACAAAGTAAAATCCGATCAATTAACAGACAGCTCTGAAATCAGTCTAGTGCCTTCAGATATTGAAAGGTAAGTAAAGTAAGAGAGTTCCCTGTGCTGCTAGGAATTAATACCTGTCATTCTTCTGAGTGCAGTTTTTCCT